ATTTGGCCGGGGTCTTCGTTTTCCAGATCTGGAAAGCGAAGACCCCCTATGATTTCTCAATAAAATATCATAAAAAGATCTGACACATTATTAAGAAACGATTCTAAGAAGTATAAAGATGTTTGACACTGTTTTCCCGAGAATTGACGGGGGTCTTCGTTTTTCAGGGTCGTCGGTCTTCGTTTTCTAGGTCTTCGTTTTCTAGGGACCCCATTTATTACTGCAAGTTTTTCTCTTATTTATTTATGTTTCTTTTATGTCTCTTTTTTCCCCTAGATCAAGACGAGTGTATGATGGGAGGCGTAAAATGCAATCAAATGTGTATTAATACTCCAGGCAGTTACTACTGCTCGTGTTTTGAGGGCTTTAGAATGAACAAGTTGATTCCTAATCAGTGTGATGACATCAATGAGTGTCTTGAAGGACTGTCTGATTGTCACAGATGTTTCAACTTACAGGGAGGGTAAGAAACAGGTCTCGATTGACATACGGAGGGTGCATAAAATTATTCAACGGGTAAAGGCCGTGTCACACTGGCGTTTTTTTCGTGCAACTTGTGTCGCGCAAAAAAATGTTGAAGTTGCACGATGCCATGTCACACTAGCAAAATTCCGTTGCAACTTAGCTCGCACAAAAAAATGTTCAAGTTGCACGCGTAAATTGAAAATGTACGATCATCTCACTTTCTGTCTCGTTTTCTTCTTCAAAATTATCGCTTTCGCCAAAGATGGCGTCGGGCATCTTTGTTGATTATTACAACAAGTGACAACAGGACAGATTCTCGCTTTATTATGGGTTCGTGCGCCTAATTGAAAAATTTGGAAGTTGCAAGAGACCATGTCACACACGCGTTTTTCCGAAAAATGTTGAAAAAAGTAGAAGCCAGTTCTACTTTTCTCTCAACAAAAAAATGAAATGTTCAAGTTGCATGAGGGGGTGTCACACGTAAAAAAACGCTCGTGCAACTTCAACATTTTTTTGCGCGACACAAGTTGCACGAAAAAAACGCCAGTGTGACACGGCCTTAACTCAGTTCATCTTCTGGATAAAGAATCATCCGAAGGCAGGGTTTACACCTTATGATATAGAAATGAAAGAAAATTATAGGGCTTAGAAGGAGGCAATTCCGGGAGAAAAACCCTTAGTAATAAATTCAGAAAAAATAATTTCCGACCTGGCTGGGATTCGAACCCATGACCTTCGGATTACCGATGCTCTACCAGCTGAGCTACAAGGCCAGACTGAGAGCAGGTTGGAATGAATTAAATGTTAGGTTGCGGTAATAGAATAATGTAAAGATATGAATATTCATATCTTTACACCTTATGTACAACGTACTCCAGTGCTGTGCCTCGGAAGCTTTTACGTCATGTAATGTATACGCAATGCAATGTAGGATATGTCTTGGCGGATTTCTTTTGTTTTCTCAAAAAACTGATCCCATGATGCATTGTAAATCAAGTAGTGACGTAAAAGCTTCAGATGTCTATTCTTCATTATTAAAGTAACGGTGTTTAATCGATTCAAAAAACATTCTAGTCTGAAAGACGAGATAAAATCGAACTACTGAAACAGCGCCCCATTTCCAATGTTAAGAATTTTAAAATGCATTTCAAATGCTATCCTATARTAATTTTCATCTTGCGCGATTTCTTCCTTGAGGTACCCATTGGAGAAATTATCCTAGATATTTATGATCTTTTCATGTTTTAGGCATTACTGTGAATGTGATGATGGTTATGTTGCTATCAATAACCGAACCAAATGTAAAGATATCGATGAGTGCATGGCAAACAATGGTGGCTGTTCTCAGTTATGCGTCAACACGGCTGGCGGATATCACTGTAAATGTGAAGCAGGATATAATGCTACCGACTCCGAGTACGAATATAATAAGCATTTCTTCATTCATTCATTTGTTTATTTATCTATTCATTACACCAGCAACAACAGCAATAGCAACGACAACAGTTTTATTTATGAATTTTGGGAGAAATTACAAAAATTGTATCAGTTTCAGTCCTATTTCCTATTGTTGCTGTTGTTGCTGTTGTCATTGTTGTTGCTGTTGTCATTGTTGTTGCTGTTGTCATTGTTGTTGATGTTATGCCGATATATTTGTTTTGAATCCTGTAATAAGCATTAATTTTTTTTGTGTGACTTCACAGATCTCGTACATGCGTCGACATTAACGAGTGCGCACCTCATGATGGGAAGGGCGACTGTGATCACATGTGTACAAATACTGCAGGCTCATTCGAGTGCTCTTGTCATGCAGGTTATGCATTATCGATWGACGGTTTGACATGTCAGGARATCAATGAATGCGCGGTAAACAATGGAGGCTGTAAACAAAAATGCATGAATATTCCAGGAAACTACTCTTGRGCATGTCATGATGGGTACTTGAACAGAGGCAGGAACGGCAGCGACTACATCTGCGAAGACATTGGTGAGAAAATAGTACTTACTAACAGACAGKTGSGGAAAAGAGTCGCCACAAAAAAGATGTCATAGATTTTCCTTTTTTTCGTGATATTTTCCTTTTTGTTTTGGTCAGATTTATAAAWCTCWCATTATTAAAATAAAGCTCAAAAAAGACCGAAAGGCAGGCATTTTTGTTCAAAAGGACCTAAGCAAATGAATTTATAAGACGTCTACTATCTCTGCCAAAGCCAGGTTTAATACGTTGATGTCAGGAGAGTCAGATTKTAATAACAAATGATGCGTTTTCTTTCTAGATGAATGCGCCCTTGGTTTACATTCATGTGCTAGTGGTTCAACGTGTGTCAATACGCTAGGAAACTACACTTGTACTTGCCCCAAAGGCTTCAAAACCAACTGGAATAAATGRGTGGGTAAGTAACACAGGGTACCCAAAACTCGCYCTGTTCTGATAACACAGGGTACCCAAGAARAGTACTTTATTAGATTTTACCAATCTTTTTTTTTCTTTAAATCTATATGAATTTTTTGAAACTAATTGCTGGCTTGTTTTTCTTATTGTTATATTAAGTCATTTTACCTCGCTAGTAAAGGTATTAGAGAATATTTTTAAAAAAATGTTTTTCCTTTTTCTTGTAGATATTGATGAATGCCAATTATCTGATGTCAATAACTGTGAGCAGTTGTGTAATAACACAGCTGGAAGGTAAGTGTGMTGAAAAAAAAAAGATTARMAAGAAAAAAAGAAAGAGAAAAAGAAAAASTGTTTCCGCCCGGGCTCGAACCGGGGACCTTGTGCGTGTTAGGCACACGTGATAACCACTACACTACGGAAACTTCCGTTGTTTGSGAGGTGATAATTTTTGTTTTTATACCGTTATTTTGCCTAACTCYACGTATATATTCTTTTGCTTCAGTTTTCATTGCCAATGCCTTCCTGGTTATAGCTTAGATGGAAATGGCAAAGGCTGTAATGGTAAYTTTTGATACTCTACCTTTGATATCCCCGCTTATAATTGTCGCACGCTCCTAACTTTCCAGTCGCTTTAAATTTGTTGACATTTTATTTTACTTCATCTTATATATTAAATGATTAATGTTTTCAGATATCAACGAATGTCTTCAAAGTGTCTGTGAAAAGGACTGTATCAATATTAAAGGAAGCTTCCTTTGTATGTGTCCTGATGGCTACAAACTCAGCGACGATCGACAGTCCTGTGAAGGTACATCTAAATTGGTCATACATCATTGACTCATCAGTGCGCCGGAACATTTGCACGAGGGGCCGCAGGGAGGGGACCCTAAAAATAGAGATTACAGTCCTGTTCAGTTGTGAAAATCGGCGTTTCTACTGAAAGTGTGTATTTCAGACACAGTTTTAATTCTTTTTTCCTTATTATTTAGATATCAACGAGTGTACAGTCAATAATGGCGATTGTGAACAATTATGTGTCAATACAAATGGCAGGTGAGTTTTTTATTGCTAGTTTACCCGGTTCAATGATAAATACTAAAAATTTCATTGATTCATTTAAACAGCCATCACTGCCAGTGTAAACATGGATATCAATTGTTGAGAGATGGCAAGACTTGTAGAGGTATTTTACAAAGTGTTAGTCTTGTTTTTTTTATGTTTTTTTTTTTGTCAATAATGGACGTGAAGCCAAATTTCCCATGATGTTTTCATCTTAGAAATTGTAGTTAAACTACAATATTGATCGTATTATAATTTTATGTATAGATCTTGATGAGTGTAAACTGAACACAGCATGCTGTAATCACGATTGTGTTAATACTGAGGGAGGTTACAACTGTACGTGTTATCGAGGATTCTCTTTGACTGGCAACTGCACTTGTATTGGTTGGTATTCATTTATCTTTTTATACATCAATCCATCCATTTTTTTACATGCATATCAATACTGATACGGCCATCCTCATCCTTCAATTTATCCATCTGAACTGAATAAAATATAAGGCGGCAGTGTCGTGTACTCTGAAAGTGTCATTATTATGTCATTTTTGTGACGTTTTTTTTTTTGTTCTTAGATATCGACGAATGTGCAAAAGCGAATGGTGGATGTGAGCAAATATGCACCAATAAAGCTGGTGGCTATGGGTAAGTTTCTAGTTGAAAATTTGCTCATTGATAGCTTCAAAGCATGTTGCAATCCCATGTAACCTCAAATAACCATAATTGCAAGTCTAGATTTTGTACAACAAGAATTAGCAGTAACTTGACGGGGTTTTTTTCGTTATAGCTGATTTCCTTTTATTCTTTTAGCTGTTCTTGTCGAACTGGATTTGTAGTTGATTCGCTTGATCCATCGCGTTGTGAGGATATCGATGAATGCAAAACGGTAAAAAATTCTATTGCTGTATTTTCGAAGCAACGAAAGGATTGTAAGAAAATACTTCATTTGAATTTACAGGACAATGGTGGATGTCAACATAACTGTACCAATACCATCGGTACTTACCAGTGCACTTGTCATCCAAAGTTTAAACTTCAACCTGACGGAAAATCTTGCGGACGTAAGTTTACTTGCACTTTCTTACCRTAAAAAAATATTCAGCACTCTCGTTTGAAGTTGTATGCGRTTGAATGTAGTGTAACTCGGACTCGCTCACTTTTCCTGTAAACTGTTACTATTGTCCTTTCTCGTTCGTTTTGTCCAGTGTTTTACTAACATAGTTTAAAWTAAACAAAGCAGTTCTGAGAGATATTTTAAAAGTCCATGTTTTTACCATATTTAGATTGTCCGACGTGCGACGACTTTGAATCCCTTCTAGAAACAGTGCAAGTTCTAAAGAAACAGGTATTGCGCATGCCCAGTGAGAGGTGACATTATTGGCTGCAAATAATTTCTCAGTTTAAATCGCGATAGATTGAAAAATTGMCTTCATGTAGCCAATACAGCAAAGTAATCAAAATCCCATGACCTGTTGTCAAAACATACACCGCGGATCGTCTGCAWCCTCTGCATTATTACATCTTTATTGCACTCCATCATAGCGACTCACACAATTGAATCCACAACAAGCTTAAACCAGAGAAGAAGAAAAAACACTTAACAAGCATGAATATATTTTTATTTTGAATACATTGTCCACAATTATGAATCAAAAGCGAATAAGTTGTAATTATATAAAAAGATTAAAGATTAATAGATTTGATTTGTGATGACTTTAGGTAGCTTCATTGGAGGCATGGCGGCAAAGCACCAAGAGAGGCTGTATTGATGATAACTTTGGCTTCCATCCTGAACAAAGCTCATGGAAYAGTACCAGATGCGACATCTGTACTTGCGAGGTTCGTGTCAGCGGATGTRRKATTGTTGTACTGTTCACTTCAGTTTGACCAAAGTTGTCAGACTTTTCACCCCACAAGCGTTCAGTCCGATATAGCTAGCAAGGGTGAATCTACTTTCTCAGCCTAGGATCKCATGTTCACAAGGTTTTATAAGTTAACAAACCAATTCTCCGATATTTGAGCACTTCTKATTATAAAAATGAAGAAAAGGCGTTTATTGTACATATTGTCTATTCAAATACATAAACTACGTCGTTAAAAACTAAATGAATTAATGTAATAAAGTTTACTTTGATTTTATAGAAAGGGAAAGTGCTCTGTGAGCCTATAATGGGATGTAATGGCCGAATACCACACATTAATTCTGAAGGTAAGAGTCAGTTCCAAAAGTGTAACACTTTTCTCTAAAGACAAGTGAAATTTAAATTCTCTGTTTTGTTAAGTACTCCGCTACGACTCATGTTTTTATGTTTTTTAATAATCCATTATTCCTTGGGTATTATTCATTTAAACGCTGTTTCTTTATTCTCCATTGGCTTACTAGTAATATATTTGACATACAATGTCTTTTACTTCTATAATCCCAATTGAATGTTTCATAAAGAAGGTTAACTTTACCGGCTTAGTTGTTTTACTTTTTAATCTATTTWTCTTATATTTAAAGGCTCGTCGTCGACGGTGAAACCATCACCAGCAAAGACAGATATCCCGTCTTTTAAAAACAATCGAAGGCTTGATTAAGAGATGCACGTATGTTTATGATGTAATCATCGAAATTTTAATAATATAAATAATAATGATGTCTGAAATATGATGGACATTTCTAGAAAGAATTTAAAAAGTCTTCAAGTCGACTTTTGAAAATTGCATGACTCCGCGGTTCAATGTAATTTTCTTCGTGTAATGTTTAGTGTATTGTGTTTAAATCTATTATGTCTGCAGCAATTATTTCAAAGCTCATATTCCTAAACTATATCAAAGTGTAACATTTATTCATATTTTYTGTTTGCATGTGTGTAATTCCATTGACGTGAGTATTAAGTTTTTGGTTGATTGAGGATTTCTTTCTAAATCACTACTATATCATGTAAATGGTCAATAAAGTTTTAAGGTGATATTGTTGGTATTTTTCATTAGTTCTTACTGGAATATCCTTTTGTTTTCTTTGTGTGGTAACTTGATTAAGTTTTCTTTTCTAATGACTTGTCAGTTTCTAGAATTCAACATCGGTGTTAATAGATCTCCCAACGCTTTTCGAACAATGCCTAACTTCAGTAAGCACGGAAGTCGCGTTCTAGTCCGATCCTTAGTACAAATCATATATATGTAAAACATATTTTTGAATGATATTATATGCCAGACGTTTTTTTAGAGGTCATGTGTTCATGTAGTAATAAACTAGAGTTTTCRGCAATCTGCTAGCGAACTCGTTATTTGTTTTTACCTAGCTACCATTGTCCGCTAACGATTCRAAAATAATACTATTGGGTCAGTGGATAAATGCACCCTGCGCGCCCTCACGCAATGAATGTACTGTACGCGTTTCTCGTTACATATGGGACGTTTCGTGCTTAGGCGCGTGGAACACTGAAGTGGGATCTCTCTTGAGATTCTGATGAGTAGGGGGAAAGCTCAAATTGTCTTTCTGTGCTCGATTTTCGTATTCCTATATAACTGATATATCTAGTTCAAAGACAATATGTTACCATGGTAAGGCCAGTCATTTTGAATCATTGTTGCAGCMCATTATTTTAGCTTCACATGCCGGACTTCTAAAAGAACTGGTAAAGAAAAGGCTGATATTGGGCATTGTTCACCGTACATCGTGGTAATAATTTAATCAAATGTACAAATCACTGCGTACAGTATGATGCTTTTCACGCCTTTTATCTTCAAGGTGTTGCAACAGGGATTGCTATTTAAAACAAGATTGAAACCAGACAGGGATATCCAGGAGACTAGTATTTGTAATATAGGGCCTTAAAACCTCGCTTTAAACAACATGAAAAGCGTCATCTAGTAAAGCTTTCTGTTGTTGCATTTAAAAACCAAATAATGGTACCATGTGAAGTCGTCATTCGTGATTCAAGAGCCTCATTGAGATTTCAGCCCTGTCTGAAAGAAAACAAGTGTGCTAATATGACTAATTAAAAGCTTACAGACGCTTATTTTACCTCTTTTGCGCTGTGAATAAACAAGCTAGATGGATTAAACCTTTGTATGAACAAATCCCTTTCGAGAACAAAGAAAGCTATCTTGAAAAGGGTAAACGGTTATAAAATCTTCATCAGTTGAGTTGAACACTTGAGTCAACCACTATACACAAGCGAGATATCAGACTAGTGAACTTACACCATAAAGATGAATGTCTTTACCTCGACCCATGAAAGCGACCACATCAAAAGGCCACTGAATTCCTTCATGGTTTGGGCCAAAGAAAAACGAAGAATTATGAACAAAAATAACCCTAAAATGCGCAATGCTGATATAAGTAAGATCCTTGGAGAAGAATGGAGAAAAATGCCCGAAAAAGACAAGCAGCCTTATGTCCAACAAGCCGTTTATCTCCGTCYACAGCATAAGATTGACTACCCTAACTATCGCTACAGACCACGTAGAAAGAACAGCCAAGATCCTAGAGCAGAGGTGTTCGACCGAGCTGCACAATACTCCAGGGTTTTTTCCAACGTCTTTTTACCTTTACCATCAAGCAGTTCACCGCTTCGTGGGGCATGCYTACCGTACAGCTACGACACCTATGTCCCTCCTCGTTACACGGTAGAACGACTTGAAACTCCACCTCATGGCATCTCTTTCCAGCCTAAATTCATCCCATCATACAATCCTAGCTATGTTTTACCATCTAATGACATCAAAGACTACAACTCCAACTCAKCACCATGTTTGAGTGAATTGTCAACAGTTCTCAAAGATGGACCATTGAAAACGTCGACRTTGCCTGTGGCCCGTCCTTCTCATAGCCCCACAGTTTCTTATATGATGGTGCCTTCTAAGAGCCAGTTTTGAAGATATTGAAAGGGTTTTCAAGGACAATGATGACAGAGACACTTGGAAGAATATTTCAAACAAGTACATAGTCTTTTGGACGGATAGATTGACTTTAGTATTATGAAAATAGCATCAGACTTTTCTGCGTTATGCTTTACATTCTTTTCTTTCATATTGTAAAGACAAAAAAAGGTAAAGCTATACATAGCTTTAGTAAAAGACGTTTACAATTGCACAATGCAAATTATAATTTAAACAGAGGAACAGATAGTATAGTTTTTTTCTTTTTTAAGGTTTAGCRGTATTTGTATATCACTTGTAAGATCAATCAACCGAGAAAGCCAGCTTCAATAAAAGGACGGCACGCTTTCCAAGAGTTATTCGTCGCTTCGCTGATTTCAGGTGTTTTTCATCTTTGTCTAACTATTCATTTATTTGTATTTTCAATTCGGACCAGACTAGAATAATAAAATCGTTTTTGGCTGACTACGTTGTGTATTGTGGAAGTCAATTGAATYTTTCCGTCTCATGCGCAAGCCAAGCTAAGACCAATATGGTTGAGCAAAGTAAAGATATTACAGTACTAAGGCACGTGCGCTCTTGAGAAAATTTGTCTGTTGATGAGTTTGAATGGGCTTAGTACTTAAAACTGTATTGCAATCAATACAYCTAACTGACCTCTTGYCTGAAAAGGCGTGGCGGAGCCCAGCACCGGTGAGAAACGGTTCAGTAACTACCATCTGTATACGATGTTCTCTTTATTGCTTATATGATTTGCYAACTTGCAGTCCGTAAAATTAACTTRACATTCTCTTGTTTAGTTTTGATTTGGAATGATTAGTTATAGGTTCTTGAGCAAGACCCTCCTTTGCACGACCGTTAGGAGGTGTTTCATTACAAGCGTTTGTAATAAACGATGATTGATTTCCATGGAAAAGCACCAAGTCAAGAATTTGTTTACAAAAGGACTAACCTGTATTTGTTTTGCACTTGGACAAGCACACGTACATTTTAACGTGTCATTTTTAACACTTAATACAGTACATAACAGTACACGTGTTGATCGTTGACCGGGTCAGATTGTTTTGTGAAGTCAATGAAATGTTTATTTGTTTCCTGGTCACCCTCTACTTTTTCTGGATATTCTAGTTATAGTTCGATCTCGGCGTTATACTCGTGACTTCAGAGAGATTCTCCTAAAAAAAAGACTTGTTTTTTGCTTTAGAAGATGGTTTTACAGATTGAAAAAAACATATCGTGCATCGTTTAATCTTTCATTTCGTACAAAAACACATTTTCTACAGGTCGCTGAGACAAAGGATGTTAACACGTCTTCTCTGGTTGGTGCACGGAATCCTAAGATAAACGACTATCTTGCTTATTAGTCGAAAGAGGATGTCAAACTATTGARACACGCTCTTCATATTTGGAGAGATTTATTTGCATTTGCTACAATAAGAAGGTTTGGCTACAGCTAATCGGATATTATATCATTGTGAATCSCAGCAGATCAGTCAATGTTCAACAAAAACAGTTTATTCCGCATTTAAGCAAGAATTGTTTTTGAGTCTGAAAAGTCGATCAGTCTTCCTGTAATGTACAGGCTCATTCAATAAGTTGKCGGGTTCTTAAGAGCTTAAAAAAGTTTGTTWAACTGATTTCGTTCATGGGTTCGTACSTGATACCATTGTTTATATTCCTAATCCTTGTTCAATTACATAGAATGATGATTTACACAAAGGAGGTCTTTCATTGCTGTGTATGTCTATGATTGTGGAATCTTTATTCTCAAGCTTTATTAGCGTAAATTAAAGAAATACAACAATACAGAAATACAAAAATCACACAGCAATTGTGGAACAGTAAATGAGAACTTTTGTCACATTTTTTCCAAAAATGGTAAGAGCTGTTGCCACACTTTTTGATATCAAAATCTTTAAAAAAAAAACAAAAAAAAAACGCTTGTGCATTTTCAAAATCGATTTGGGGATTATCTTGGAGGTCAAAAAAAGTTTGATGGCTAATTGCCTTTTTTCCTTTGCTTTTTAGAAACTTACAAGAGCGAGGTATTGTGCGAAGATGCAAACTTCAATTTTCGGCTTTCTGTCTTGCGAAATGGAATGCGCGTAATTCCTTTAGATCAAACTTAATAAAAAGTCCCGTACATCAGACTGTATGCCTTAAAGAATTTGTTCTGACTTTTCCAGATAACTCATATGACAAAGCTAAACAGGGAAAAGTTTTGGTGCAGTACCAAGTAAATCCGATTGTTAAAACTGAAGTGTCTTTATAGCCAGACTGAGCCAGACAGTCTTTGTGTTTTTTAAGATATCAATGTATTGTCCAGGTCTTTAATTCCCACTGGTACCGAGCCTCTTTATTAACACAAACCAACAACACGTGTTGTTGTCTTMGGTTTTTCAGATTATTATTCTTTGATCTCCTCTTTTTGTGCCTTTTTTTGCCGTGAAAACACATTGTGAGAAAAGGGATGATCAGAACTAACACGTCAAGTCACGAATTGAACTGCGGAGTTCGGCCATCATCCCCGATCAAGTTTGGTAGTTAGTACAATTGTTTACGACTTTCGCAGTGAATCTCTATGCATGACGTGACACTGGGACCAGTATAGTAGTCGTTCAGTGTACGAGGGTAAATAAAATCGCTTCAGCCACAGCATTGATAGACTTTCTAAACATTTTACCAAGTAGAGAAACATTCACCCAGTGAAAATATAGAGCTATTATGGCACAATTCGTGACTGCCGAAGAGTAGCCTGAGTATGGTCGACACCCAATACCTACCCCATAACTAGGGTAGCCTTTCAGAATCATCTAAATGTAGAATTAAAGGGTATCAGTTCCATGAAGAGGATGTGAAATATTGCTGGAAAATAACTTAAAATTTCATGAAAAACATCAATTCTCAATGCAATTGAAGAAATTGAAGAGKTTGAGTTTGATGACAAAGCCATTTCAGAAAAGTGTGCTTTTTCCTTTCTAGTATTCTGCAATAGTTGTCAGTTAGTTTACAGATTGACCACAACCATTCCCAATTGGTTTGCAATAATACATAGTGGACCAAAACTAAGTAAGTAGTTGAATAACGTTTATTTTGATTACCTTAGGAAGGAAACACCTCTGATTTGGGATTTTGTAATGTGAAATTACATTTTTTATGTTCTTTTTCTCAGTTTTTTAGGTTATTTTGTACATTGATACTTCCTTTAAATACTATATTTTCATGTACACAAGTAAATGTTATCCYATCAAATGTTTCTTTGCTGCATTAAGGACTTTTCTGTCAAAATTTGGTGATGTTATCTTGCTGTTGATTTCATAAAAAGGATTCATAACAACCTACAGAAAACCACA